AAATAGGGGCTATCCCCACATAAATAATAAAAACAAATATTACACATTGGGATAAACATCCCACACTGATTAGGTAAAAGCTTGATCGCATTTTCCTAAACAGTGCAAATGGTAGACAGTACAGCTAACAGTGATCTAATTAACAGTGAGCTAATCAACAGCTAGCAACTAACATGTAACAGTGATCTAATTAACAGTGATCAAATCAAAATCTAATCAAAAGCCAAGCACCCAGACAAGCCAGGTAGCCCACCCCAGACAGCCCGGCACCTGCAACCCTTAATACACAAAGTACACATGCTATCTTTCAGGTGTTTGCTTTCACTTGTATAATCTGTCCATCATAAAACAAAATCCATACAATATTCTAACAGTCTGAAAAAGTGGAATTCATCTATCTTCATAGATTTATTGAGGGAGATGGTCGATAAATGATTCTGTCCCAAGTGGAGGAGGTTCTCCAACCCAGTCTGCAGGAAGGCTCCGTATTTCCTCTGACTGTTAACCTGTATAAGATTAATATTACACCTTTCCATCCACTTCAAAAGGGAAGCTATATTGTCTTTATTAATCCAAGCCTCGCTCTCAGCGTTCATCACGTTGTCCATCATTAGTGATCTGCTCTCTACATGGGCCATAATCAGTGCGTAGAAGGCTAGCCCCTAGTCCCCTCCAAAAGCCCTTGTCCTGGTTGGTTCTATCTAAAGATGCAGCAATACCGTTTATTTATCGGCGAGTACAAGTACCGATACTTTTGGTTAAGTACTTGCCAATACTGATTACCGATAATTTACAGTGCGATTTACGTCCATACAAAATGTATGGACGCAAATTGCACCACAAAGATTAGCATGCAATTTGAACAGGAGTGTAATTCCTGTCCAAATTGCATGCGGTTTTGTGTGGACCCAGGTTGTCATAGCCTGAGTCTGTCCAGTGCTTCCTTCCAGACGTACAGAATCATACCATTCCAGCAGGACATGCTCTGGCACTGGTCCCCTGTGCTGCATCTACATCTCTCGCAACCTCCTTTTGAATTCCTCTTTCATGGCCACTGTTATCTGTTCCTCTCCTCTTCTGCTAATTGGACCTGAGATCCTGGTGGTGGTGCCAAACAAATATGATGGACCGCCTGTCACCCCGATTGGGTGATTCCATCAGAGAACTGCTTCCTCACAGCTGGTACACAGGAACAAGGTATTATAGCTGGGCATCACACCCAAGAGGCCTAGGCAACACTAGCATAGTTGCAAAACTGGAACTGTTTATTGAACATAAATACAGCTTCCCTTTTGAGAGTGGATGGAAAGGTGTAATATTAATCTTATGCACAGTCACTGAACTGGCCACAAGAGTTTGGGCAAAAAGGGCTGTATACATTATTGTTTTTTTAAATAATTGTGAGGGCAGGGCTTGGGGAGGGCAGCAGGAGAAGGTTGAAAATAGATATGGGCTTTAAATCTGTCCTCTAAATGCACACTGAGAACAACAAGGAAGGTATCTGTACAACAAACATATTTGAAAGTTATCATATCTATACTGCACTGCACTAATATAGCAATTGGATAAAGAGATCACAAACTGGTAGAAAAAGAAGGCAAATGCATACATCTAACTAAATCCTGGGCATTCATATCACTTGAGATTTCAGCCATTCAATTGTAAAAAGAAGAATGCACATCAAAAGGATCTGGTTCAGTTTGACAAGGTTCCTGAAAACCTTGATGAAGTCCAGAAACCTAAACTTAGAGGTGAATCTCAATCTATGGGGGGCAAATATTGTTGTTAAAATCTGGCCATTTGTCTGGCTAATAGGCAATCTACTGTAACAAAAACATGAGAAGATGGGCACTGTCAGGGTGGACAATTACCAATGCACAAAAATCTAAAGTCTACTTTAGATGCATAAAAACTTCCAATAATAAGAACTAAAAAAATCTGTAAATGAGTGTAATTGAAGAACATCAGAATTAAAGCACAGCTTCCTAAATGACCCTAATCTCTTCCAATTCAGTTTGTCTATGCTCTCCCTCCAACAATCCACAGATTGCACTGCTTATTGGCCCTCCTCAGCCTGATGGCCATAATTCAAAGGCCATACAGTGCAGTAGAGTTTAAAAATATTCTCTCTCTCTGCACATTAATTCGGCAGAACCGCTAATCTTGAACCCTCAGGATTGGCTGCTTGCCTATGGTAACAGTGAACCTGTACCTCAACCCTAATCCTGAACATAGTTACATAGTTAGTCTGGCTGAAAAAAGACAAAAGTCCATCCAGTTCAACCATTTAAAAAAAAAAAAAGTTATAATCCTACACCCACAGTTGATCCAGAGAAAGGCAAAAAAAAACCCAGCAAAGCACGATACAATTTGCTCCTGCAGGGAAAAATTTCCTTCCTGATCCCTCGAGAGGCAATCAGATATTCCCTGGATTAACTTTACCTATAAATGTTAGTATCCAGTTATATTCTGTGTATCTAGGAAACAATCCAGGCCTTTTCACAGCTCTTACTGAACGCTTTATGATTTTAAGCCCTGGTTATGCCATCCATCTTCCCCACAGCTACTTTATGCATGCTGGATGTTTTTGGATGTGCATTCTAGGCCTGTCCTTTGCTGAAGGCATTGAATGACATATGTAGAACAAACTCCATTCCTTTGCTGTTTTTATTCTTGGTCTGCACTTACAACATACACTGCAGACAGGCTTAAAGTGTTACTAAACGCACAACAGTAAAATCAGTTATACACATGTGGAACCTAAGGGGTTAAACCTCTGCATTGTTTAAAAAGGCTGTTTGATCCTGATTGCTCTGCTGTTCCTCCTCTTGTTTAAGTGACCACCTCTTATTTCCTGATAAGACAGACTGAACCATAGGCATTTTACACATGCTCAGTTTGGTATGTATTGCTATAGAGTTTTTTCTTTTCTTGGGATAGTGCATGTGATCAGCACAGGGGCAATCAGCACTGTCTAGACAGAGGTCAGGGGTTCTGCATCCTCCTAAAGCAGAAAGAAAACTCCTACAAGCTTTAGCGAGTGCTTGGCTGAACACTGATAGGAGCCACGACTGATGAGAAAAGGTATTTAGCAGTTTATATTTACTAATGCTGTGTGTACCGTGGGAGACCAGATATAGTGAATGCAGGGTCCTGAATTTAGTAACACTTTAATCTAAGGCCTCATGCACGCTGGTTGTTTTGCCAACTCTTCTAGATCCCTTTCCTCCTGTCAGCAGCTTTTTGGAAGAAAAAACACTTTGTAATCAGTTTAAGCACATTTAGATGCGTCAGAGAACTTGGGTGTTAATTCATTTCACTGGCCAGAATAATAATTTCTTCTGGCCATATAAAATGAATTAACATTCGATCGCTAAATGCACCTAGCATTAACATGTGTTTAGACGCATCAAGCCTTTTTTTCTGACAGAATGCCGCTGCTCTTGGTTGTGCTGGCAGTGGGGTTTTTTTTTCTGTCGCTAAACTCCTCTAAGCGCATATGTGTGCATGGATACATAGGCTAACATGCAGGGGCATTTAGAGGCAGAAAAAAAATGCCAGACTCCCCTAACAGCCACGTTAAAAATGTCCAGTGTACATGAGGCCTAAACAATAAAATGCTTACATTGTAATGACAAATGTCAGGGTACAGCAAAAAAAAAAAAAAGTCAGATGTAATATGGTATATTTGCAGAGTTGCTTGGTGCCCTTGATATATTTAAGAAAAGCTAATGTGTCTCAAAAGTACAGTTGTCATTTAACATTTATTTAAGCCTGTTTTTAGCTTATAGTAATGTCCTAATACTGCTTGTAATTATTGCTCAGTGTCGCATGCAGTCTTTCCTGTAGCACTTGTTAATGAATCAATCTCTAATCAGCATGACATGTTGAGCCATAATTACACTGCTCAGTTTATCAGCTTTGGATACATTAAACCATTTGTATGGATGCCAGTGGAAAAGGTTACTTACATGGTGCATGTCATGTCAGTCACTGATTGGGCCAAAATGACTTTTTCTCCTGCTTGATGGCGGTTATCGTACAACCTTACACAAGGGAACTAAGACCCCAAAAATATAGTACGCATTTCATAAGCTCATTAAACTGAATGCAAGATTTAATTCATGAGCAAACTGTTGCAATACAGTTGTTATGTTCTAGAAGTATATTAAGTTACGATACATTCTATTGTTAACCCTTACGCTACCAGTGTCATTTTTTTTGTTTGTTTAATAATTTTAGGCCTGAAGGTTATTTAAATCCCCAATACAGTATTTATTTTCTGAAAGCAAAGACCCAGGAGAATAAAATAACGGCATTTCCAATTTTTTATGTCAAACAATAGTTGCACAGTGGTTTACCAAGCACAAATGTTCAATAAAAGATACAATAAACTTGTTTTTTGGTAAAATATAAAAGCTGAGGTTGCACTGAGTAAATAGATACCTAACATGTCAAGCCTTAAAATTGTACCCGCCCATTTTAAAAGCCCCTATAAGCTATCAGTTTAGATTTAACCATGAATAATTGCCTTAGCATTATTGGTCTTACTCCAGCTCGTGTGGAAATATGTAGCATGTGTAGAGCAATTGATATTTTCATAATTTCCCCAACATGTGTTTCCATTTGTATGCATATATGTGGGGGTGGGGTGGGCTAAAACATTTTTGAGGGGTTTAAGCGCTTGGGTGTAATTTATTTTACATTTGCTTTTTCACTAAAACTCTATTTATATCACATAGGAGACAGGTGGCCTTTATTAACCACCTTCCGCCCGCCATATAAGGAAATGACGGACACGAGGTGATTCTCTCGTTCTGGGAGGATGTCATATGACGTCCTCTCACTCCAACCACACCCTGATGATCAGTGTAGCCCCATCAGTGCCACCTGTCATTGCACATCAATGCCACATATCAGTGCCCATCTGAGCTGTCTTTCAGTGCCAACTATCACTGTCAGTCAGTGCCACCTATCAGTGCAAGTCAGTGCCGCCTATCACTGCTGCCAATCAGTACCAACTATCAGTTCCAGTCAGTGCTGCCTATCAGTGCCAGTCAGTGCTGCCTATCAGTTCCGCCTATCAGTGCATGTCAGTGTCGCCTATCAGTGCTGTCTATCATTACCAGTCAGTACTGCCCAGGGGCAGACTGACCATTTGGAAACTCGGGCACTGCCCGAGGGCCCTGGGTCAGTAGGGGGCTCCATGAGATGCCCCTGGTACCTTTTTTCATAGGCTTTTTTAAGTTTGGGCAAGGACACAGGGGCCCCATGATCCCCTATTGCCCGGGGGCCCCATGAGTTGTCAGTCCGCCCCTGGTGCTGCCTACCAGTGGCACCTAACAGTGCTAAATATGAGTGCTGCCTTTCAGTGCCCATCAGTGCTGCCTATCAGTGCCCATCAGTGCAGCCTATCAGTGCCCATCACTGCAGCCTCATTAGAGCACATCAGTGAAGGAGAAAAATCACTTATGTACAAAATGTTATAACAGAAACTAAGAAAAAGTGTTTTTTTTTTCAAAAATTTCTGTTGTTTGTTTAGCAAAAAATAAAAAACCCAGAGGTGATTAAATACCACCAAAAGAAAGCTCTATCTGTCTCAAAAAAATGATAAAAATGTCATATGAGTACAATGTTGCATGACCGCGCAATTGTCATTCAAAGTGTGAGAACGCTGAAAGCTGAAAATTGGCCTGGGCAGGAAGGGGGTAAAAGTGCCTGGTAGGCAAGGGGTTAAAGTAGTTTAAAGGCAGAAGGTTTTTTACCTTAATGTATTCGATGCCTTTAGGTAAAAAAAACCTTCTGTGTTCAACTCCCCCCTGCACATCCTAAATACATGTATGAGCCTGATCTTGATCCGGCATTGTGCCCAACAGCAGTAGCCATGTTCTCTCTCTTCCTCCGCAATGGACATACCATTGCACAAAGCAGGTGAGTATGATGTTTGTTATATTAAAAAAATCTTTTACAATCACTATAAGACAGCAGGGGTCTCCTAGACCACTGATATCTTGACTGCCTTCCATTAGCTTCTTTCCCAGCCACAGTGGCCAGGGAAAGTGACAATTGAACCTAGAAGTGATGTAACACACACTGTTCTCATTGTTGAGTGCTTACTTGGTAGAGGAGATCAGCAAAAGAAGTTCGTTTGTCTCTCTCCCTTCTACAAGATGGCACCTGCCATGGGATTTCTGGGCCCATAGGTAGGATAGCAGATCCTTGAAAACATGGCAGGGATCATGCAGGAAGAGGGAGGCAAAGGTATCCCTGGTGAATGGAAGTGATCACTTTCCGCTGACAGCCAATAGTCTGCTTGTCAGGTTTGGAATGGTGCTACAGGAGCTGGGAGCAGGGCTGCTTTTAGAAACCATGGAGCCCCATACCTGACAGGTCCCCCCCCCCAAAAAAAAACAGTTTAATATTCTGCAGTTATGAATGAACACAGTAAGTAATCGGTACTGACCACTTACAGTATTGTGTTCATCATCCTGAGGGATCCTATTGTGTGCTTGCAGTTACCGGTGGGAGGGAGAGGAGGGAACCCAGGAGCACTGGGGACACACAGAGAGTCCTGGGCAACCTGGGAAACATATGGTGCACAGGCAGGATGATGGGTACAGCTGAGGGCCAATTACTGGTATCGTTGCCCTGTATGGTTCTCTCTGCAGAGGAGAGAAGAAGCCAGTCTTCAGCTGCTGCAGGGAGAACCACTTAGGGGATCGGTTCCAGTAATTACACTCCCACCTTCCCTAAGCACCTCCGATTTACCCAGCTGCCTGGACCCCCCTGCTGACCTTAGCCCCATACAGGAGGACTGGTGGTACCACCTTATCCACAGCCCTGGCTGGGAGAGTATATAAAACCCTCCACTTGTGCTGATGTATAACTTATGTTAGCAAAAGGGTTCATCTAATTCATGTTATGGACAACTCTGTTGTAGAAATGGTATGAAAACGTGGGTATAAGATAAAACAGTAAAGGAACAAAAGCATGGAATGCGTGAAAGCTGGAGGCATCCTCGACAGAGGTAGCTGGACAAGTGATCTGCAGCTCGGTGAGAGACCATTTACTGTCAGAATCAGCATGTGGACAGCTGGACAGAAGCCTAATAGCACATAACTTCTATAGAAAACCCAGCTACTGTGTAGGAGAACTTCCCTAATTACTACCAGAGTACTGCAGTTCCAGTGGGGTGGCCCTTTGTCCTTGGATGTCTCCAGCTGTTCATCTGTGTTATCTGACCCTGAGCGTCCCTGCAAGGGATACTGTTGGGGGGCTTTATTGTTGCTTGGGAGAAATCTATTGTTGCTGGGGATGGGGGAACTTATGTTACTTGGGGTCTGTGGTTATGTGGGGTCTTTTGTTGCTGAGATGGATCTACTGTTGAGGGAGTAGTCTATTGTTACTGATCTATTGTTGCTGGCATGGGTCTATTGATGCTAGGATGGATATTTAGTTGTTGGGGAGTATTTTGTTGTGTGGAGGCCTAATGTTGCTGGGAGATCTATTGTTGCTGAGGGGTTTCTTGTTGCTGGCTGCAGGGGATCTAATTTACTGATTTTCTTGTGTTTTTAATTACCAAGTTCCATACAAATTACTTAGCACCACAAAAAGATACTTAGTTCTGTATTCTCTAAAAGGAGTGGTACTGATAGGTAGGGGCTGGAACCAAGGAGCAAGGCTCGGAGGTGGGTACGGGGTAGAGACAAGGGGTAATTTGGGAAGTGGATGGTATCTGCACCAGTTCTGTTCAAATCCCTCTTGAACAGTATTGTAGAGACTATGCTATGCAACCAATTGTAACTGATTGAGTCAAAGAGACATCGCTGTGAAGAACGCTGTGAAGAGTCCATGTTTGTGCAGCTTTTATTATCTGGTTTGTATTATTCTGCAGTATATGCATGTTCTTAGCCAACAAGAATCTGTATTTCATTACTGATTTGAACTTTGCACCTGTTTAATGTAGCACCCTCCTAGATAGGTGCTAATGTCAAGGAAGCAGGCCTTAGGCCGGCCACACATGGGTTGATTTTCGAACAATTTTTCGTTTGAAAATCGGACCTAAGAATGATCGGCCAATTTTCGCTCTGTTAGTGGGGCAATGGCATCAGCCAATTTTCGTGGTTCCTCCCCATTTCATTTATCGGGCATGCTGGAAAATTTGTGAAAAACGACCGATTTTCTAAATCATTGGTAGCACCATTGAATTACAGAACAAACAATGTTTTCTATTTTCTATCGAAAAATCTTTTGGAATTCGACCCATGTATGGCCTGCGTTAGATATCAAATAGATACATAACTACAGTATAACTGAGGCTTAACACCCCGGTCACATCAAGCCTGACTTTTACATTGTGCAACTTACAGTGAAGTCGCATGATTTCAAGGTCGGGTGAGATGCCGATTTCAGGTGCGTTTTGCAAGACATCTGACACAGTTGTCTATGCAAATCGCACCAAAAGTAGTGCAAGTCGGAACTGCACCGATATGACTGCTGTAATTGCGGATATTAGGGTGTGACTTGGTATACGATTTGCAAGTCGCATAGCATGCTAAGTTGCACCCAGTTGCGACCAGTGCGTAATGCATTATGGTTCACACCTGTGTCTTGAACTTCTTAGGACCTCTAGGTAGCTAAAACAGGCAAGCTAAGAATGTTTGGTGACTTGACCATTTGGGAACATATGTCAAAGGTTTACATGCCTTACTTGGTCATTTATTCCAAATTAGAGATTGTGACAGCTGCTAGTTCTTATTGATTATAACCAATCGTGTACCATATGTGCTTTCTACACAGTATAAATGACCTCTATAAAAGAGCAACTTTTACCAGTTCTCCCCTGGAGGACTGGTCCATGCACATGTACGTGTCAAGAAACACTTCCTTTTGTTCACCGTGAGATGAGAGGTCTTACTGAATTCTACAACACTAGAACAAGTAGATTATAGTTGGTTCCTCTGTTTAACAGAAGAACTGTTAGGAAAATATAATCCTAGATTGTAAGCTCCCAGGATCAGGCCCTCCTAACCCTCTTGTATTGAACTGTATTGTTGCTGTATTGTCTCCCATTATATTGTAAAGCGCTGAGCAAACTGTTGGCGCTATATAAATCCTGTATAATAATAATAATAATTTGGCTTTTGCTTAACCCATACCCGTCCGGCCCATGTCGATAAACGGCCGGACAGGAGCACTGCTAATGCGGGTGGACGTTTATAAAGGTCCCCCCCACACCCATTGCCTGTGCTCTCCCTGGCAATGGGTGCCCGCTGTTAGGACACAACAGAACACAGATCGCTGTACGGGACCTCTGTGTGAGGTCCCAATTCATGTGATCACTGATTGACCAATCAGTGATCACACAAACAGTAATAAACAAGATGTCACTACCTGACATCATTGCTTACTACTTGTGAAATCTGTGAATGATCACAGAGGTCATGGTACAAGGCTATTCACAACAGCCTTGTACCATGTGACAAACTGTGACCAATCACAGCTCACACAGTATTTCTCAATGGCTGCAAGAATGCAGACAGAGAGAAGGCGAAATGATTACGTTTACAGCCTTTATGGGTGTAAAAGCAATCAGTGTAAAAATGTAAAAAAAGAAAAAAAATCTTCATCACCCCCCAGAAGTAGTGCAGTGTCACTATGGTGACACTGTACTGCTAGGGTGACAGTTTGTTAAAAAAAAAAACATAAATAATATTATAAAAAAAAAAATAGAAATGTAAAAAAATGTTTTGAAAAATTATAATTTTTGGATATAAACTAATTTGGGTTGTTTTTTTTTTACTAAAAAGATAGATGAATACATTTTGGCCAAGATTTATGAAAAAAGATGATTTATTTGCAACATTTTATAAGAAAAACACTTTTTTTTCAAAAACTTTTTCATATTTATAGCAAAAAAATAAAATCCCAGTGGTGAATAAATACTACCAAAACAAAATTTTATCTGTCTCAAAAAAATGCTAAAACATTCATATGGGTACAGTGTTGCATGACCGCGCAATTGTCATCCAAAGTGTGATAGCACTGAAAGCTGAAAATTGGCCTGGACTAGAAGAGGGTGAAAGTGTCCGGACTTAAAGTGGTTAACAGCGCACTGCGATTGTTTTGTAGTAGCCGCTTGGTGTGTTAAAATGCTGCTAGTACTACCTCTGTTTTCCTCTGTATCCAAGCAACCTAGGAAGGTTCTGGATGTATAAGTGCACCTCATGCAGAAACAGTATGAATATTAATTCCACTCCAGCCAATCCCAGGGAGTGCAGCCCTGAGGAATGTTGGGAGATTTTGGGGGGTATTTATTCTTTGGGGATACTGAGCCCTTGGTTTTTCCTGAAGGGCATTGCACCAGCCCGGGGGAAAGGCACGCTGCCTCCCCAGGCACTTGCTGCCAGGTGGCCTCAGTTGGGTGACTTGAGGGCCTGAAACCAAGGGAAAGGGCGACCCTGGTTCTTCAAGAGCTGTCTGGTATCACTGGAGGGCATCTCTTTGAAGAAAGGAAGGAGGCTACCA